CTGCACGATTTGGACATGCAGTCCCCCATTCCTGGGAGCAAACATTAATGCGTTACTCGGTTGTGAGGCAGGGAGGGAACCAATCGCCAAGGAGTCCCGATTGAGCCGGCACATTCCGCCGTTATTAAGGCCTGCTGCACCGCGCTGCACCGCAGGAAGAACATAGATCTGAGGTAGGCCTTACAATCACACAGAAGTGTGAATTATTAAGTCAGAATTCAAAACAAGCCTTTCAGACATCTTAGAGTGACATTTAAATACCCTTTGAGAGGCTAGACATTAAAAACATTCAGGAAAGTGAGAGGCTTCTCTGAACGGAAGGGCGCTGGTTTGAGCCCCGGCCTTAACAAAACAGTTACATGTCCCTGGACCCTTCGGCAAGGCCCTTCACCCCCAGGTCCAAGGGTGCCACTGTACTGTGACCCCCCCACCCCCCACAAGCTATGGAAAGTAAGATGGGGTAGGCGAGGAGACAAATTCCAATGTATCTGCAGTCAGACTTTCATAAATAAATCCCTTACTTGCACAAGACGAAAACTAAACGAGTGTGAGCAAGTGTGGCTGGCGGTTTGGGTGAGCGCTCAGCGAGCAGACCCTCAACAAGCAAAACAGTCAGGGGAGGTCCGGGGGCCCGGAATGTTCCGAAGCTGCCTGACTGCCTGAAGTGGTTCGTCACCAGAAAGCCCTGGAGGCCAGGAGGGTGGTGGCAGCAGGTCAAGGAGCCGATAACCCCACCCCCCCCTACCCCCCAAGAGGCTGGAGACAAGCGGGTCAAGCCTCTGGCAGCTCTGGGATGAGGAAAGTCTAGTCGGGTTGCCTGCCTGGTGTGCACTCCGAATAATAATCTCGCCAGTCAGCGGCCAGAAGTGTGAAAGGAACTCCACGGTACATTTGAGGCAATTTCCAGAACAGTAAATGACACGGATTTTAGTAAGACACAGTCCAAACGCAGGAAAAGTAACAATCACACTATCAATACGAGAAAGGGTATCCAGGACCCCAAGCTCTCTTATCATACTTTAAATGAAGAGATGTCATACTTCTACCTCCTCATCCTTGTGGACATCAGCGCCCCCCACCCCCGACAAACTAGCGTTCAAAATCAACATGCAACCTCTTCTCTGCCCCCTTTGCAGTACGGTTACCAGCCCCCACGCTTAATGGGACGATACTCCATCAGGATTACTGACAGCCCCCCCCATCTGCAGAATCGGGCCAGACGGTCAAGGCTAACCACCTCTCTGCCCGCTATTCGTCGTGTGCCTAAGGCGGGTCTTACCTTCCCTCCTGCGGAAGACCTTCTGTGCTCTGGTCTTCCTCTCCCTAAAAAAGAAACCAGCAAAAAAACAAAACAAAAAAAAAAAAACACAAAGCAGAGTCGTTACTTTCCAGTCAACACAGACACCAACAAAGAGACACAGACAGTCCCGGCTGTACCGCAAATCAACCCTGGGTCACAGGTCACTCAGGATGATAACACTGACTCGTCAGCGTTAGACAGGAAGTCACGGAGGCCTACAAGCCTACGCCGCCCATCTAAAGCTGAACCTCTCAGAGGAGAATCTCCACGTCGTAATTTGGATCCTGGTCAGGCATCATGAAGGACAGAGGAAAGAGGGAATCCAGTGTGAAACACTCAACAGTTGAGGTGTGTAGGCCTGTACAGGCATGCAGTGGTCGTCATGGTGAGGACAACGTATCGATTTCTGTCACTCTCGACCGCCGTATACCACGGGCCCCAGTGTTCTGCGCCGCGGCAAACTGGAAACGCGCCACGCCAGATAGATTTAAAAAGGCGAACACACCTAACAGCTTAAGGCTCGCAGATGACGGAGCCAGCCGCTCGCTTGGCTGGGGGCCACGTGACAAGACGCCGCTCGCAAACCTCGCACCCTCGTGAGTGTGCGACGCACCATGCGGCGTTCTCACAAAATGCACCGTGCGAGCCACCCCCTGAAACCCACGTGAACGGCTGCCGCAGACGCAAACATGCAACACACTTAACACCCCGTGTTCAGAAAAGCCTGAGCATAAGTCCGATTAAAAATTCATTTAAGGACAAAAAATTAAGAAGATGAGCATTTCATTCTGCAACATTCTCGCTGCAATTCTGGGAACATTTCAAGCATGGAGCGACCATAAGCAAACACCGACGATGAAGTTATATCGCAGCGAGCAGTCGCAACGGTCTGGGTGCACTCGCATACGCAGTAGCAGCTGCTTTTTGTTGAAGTCCTACTTAAATGCTAATAAAATCAAGACTTTTGACGACCGTACACATACGACATGTAGAGGTAGGTAACAGGTAACTCAGAGAGCAGTGCCGTCTCCAGCCAAGTTAGCAAGATTCAACTTAACAAAAACAAGCCAAGGGTCACAATCAGTAATGATACTCAACGCAGCTAAATAAGGCCATTAAACTTTTACAGGGAATTTAAAAGACAGTGTGTGGTAATGGTTCAGCATTGTTGGCAGAGTTTGAGGTGTGTAATCTTCCTCAGAGAACAGTGCTACCTGAATTACATAACAACAAGAGCACACAAGAACTCTTCAGACAGACCAGCCTTTGCCATAAATAGTAAAGACTTCAGCCAATGGTAGCGAATGTTAACACTCATGACAGACTAAGAAAACAGGACAACTATGCACTTGTCAGTCAGGTACAGACAGATATGGGTGGGGCAAGGAAGTTAAACATAGTTCGCTCTCTCACATGCAAGTAAAACCACAAATCATTTTTACACTAATCATGCACCCTCTCCAGAAGACAGGCCTGTCAATAAAAACAAAGTAAAAAATACTATTTAAATGCCTTTTTTCATAGCAATGCTGGAAATAATAAATCAATTATGCTACAAAGAAATGTGCACGAAAAACAATTGCGATGTACTACAAAAGCCACGCATTTGAGGGGAATGTTCTGCAACACAAAGGCTTCGCTGCGACTGATAGTGAATAGATGAGCGCATATAAAGGCCAGCAAGGTATAAACAAGCGAAATGTCACCCTGTAGCACAGTAATACAATACAGTGCACTCATAAAAAGGGAAAACACAATTACATGGCGCAGGTTAAAGACAGGGGGTACGAGTGTGAGGGACAGCGGGCACATGGCGCTTTCTGTCACGCTGCCTGGCTCCGCTTCCCGCCGCTGGATGGTCAGAGTACCGGTAGCGGCATCTTTCCAGGCCAGACCTTGGAGCGATCAGACGGTGGAACTTAAAACCGTATGGTGATCAGTCATGTTTCACGATGCACTAACTGAACATGCAGCCCCCCCACTTGCAACCACATCCCAGCCCCCCTCCCTCTCTCTCTCTGCATGCTGCGGGCGGGATGCTCGGGTGTGTTTTGTGCGCGAGAAAGTTTCAGGTGTACCGCCCGCACGTGCCAAAAGAGAAATGCATCAGGTTCCTGCCTGACATCCCCACACACCCCCACCCATGATCGGGATGATCGTGATGATCGTACCTGTGATGGGAGCAGGAGCTCTGCTTCTTCAGCCTCCCAGACCTCGACCACGCTGGCCATTTGAGCTAATGCTGGAAAAGCGCAATAAAAAGAGAGACGGGGCGAGAAGTGAGCAAAGTGCAGGAATAAAGACTCCCCTACATGTTTAGCGTCACTGATCGGTTGCTAGAAGCCTTATTTAAAAAAACGCAAACAAAACTGCATGGCAGCCCTGACTGCTTGGGCTGCTCGTATGAAGCGGAGGTGACAAAGCCGTGCTTTTGCACTGGGCGACACGCCGAGACCATCGCCGAGGGGCCGCTCGAATGACCGGCTCAATTTTGCAAAAAAAATAATAAATAATAATAATAATAATAATAATAATAATAAATCCACGGGTTCTCCGTTAACGACCATACGTGGAAAGCCTGTTAAAACGCGGCGCCGGGGACGATCCACACAAATATGCAATGCAATAGAGCCGACACAGGAAACCACGATTGTCTGAGACAAAAAAAAAAACATCCCCGAAAAAGGATGTAGGAACTTTGCACTCGAAAATAACTTTGAAATAGATATACTTTAGTAGCATCGGATAATAGCTAATTACACATATGCAGGCGCGGAGGCCATCGCCAGCGTATTGCGGCATTGCCCTCATCGCGGAGCCGCCGCTCGCTCCCAGCACCAGTCGCGGATAAGTCTTCTCCATGCCCCGCTTTTGTAACACGTTTCCACGGCGGACGCGTCGCAGATCGGTCGAATAAATAGGCGCAGACCTTGTAGTTGTGCCTCTCCCTGCCGGATGCAGGGCAAAAGTAGCTGCAAGAGCCCGAAGAGGACATTTATCCACGTTTTGCCGTGGCAGCGGCCGCCGTGTCGGAGGTCCCTGGGCCCCGCCATGCTGCTCCGCCGCGCTGCGCTCGCCTCGGCTCGGCTCGGCTGCGATCGCCTCTGCCCGTGTCGCTGTGCTTTCTCTTTCTCTCTTTCGCTCTCTCTCCCTCCCACCCCTCTCACACCCTGTTTCTGGGCGCTGCGAGTGGCGCCTGCCGGAGCCAAGCAGTCCGATCCCTTACACCCCCGGTCCAGCCGCTCGGACCCGGGTCTCGGATGAACAGGAGCCGCTTTTTGCGAGGTTTATTTCTCTTTCAGTCTAGGCGTGCAGCGCCATGCTCCGATTACCTAGCCTGAAGGTCGTAGCAACACGCTCCTTTCCCCCATTGTTCTTTCTCTTTGTTTCGAGGATCCCAACTAAACATGCATCCTATCATGTATTTTGCACGTGGTCACATTCAACTTAATACCGTCAGTCGTCGCGGTAAATAATAAAATTAGATGAAGTGCCGATTGATTAAAAACCGATGTTAAAGATCAGAGGACGTTAAATAAATGTTTGCAGTGTCAGATTTTACACTCATTAGGAGTTGCGAAAAGATAATATTTTAATTTCTTTGTAGTTGTATAAGGTTTTTATTAATTCAGAGTATGTATAGGTTAGTTGAACTGCAGGTTTTACATAAGCAGTTGTGTTATTCAACTATTTTTAAAATCAAGTACAGTTATTAAAAAAAACAGTACTGAGCGGCATTGCTTATATGAAATTTGTTATGACACCGGTAACAAGTGTCACAGGATGGCAGATCTGCTGCTGCTGTAGTTCACATGTTCGACCATTGATCTGTTTTATAGGGAATCAGACTCAAGGCTAATTTCCGAAATCTTAGCGCCTCTGCATGCATAAACCATCCATGCTAAATAAAAGAATATAAGGCGGAATCAGGCGATGATTTTATAGTTTTTCTATTTGGCATCACGAAAACAGATGCAAGCACCGTGCTTTAGGTGGAAATTAAGGGAAAAAAACCTAAAGAATGAGGTAATTAAGTGCAGACCCGCTACATCTACTGTGTGTAATGGGGGGCGGGAGCGGTCCCTGACTCTGCAGGGGAAGTTTGGCTCTGAATGCGGGTACTTTGCACACACAGGCCATGCCGTGACTTGTGAAAGCGAATATTGCCTAGCCAGATATCTAATTCAGTCACGGATCAGAGGTTGAAATCCAAAAAAAGGAAAGTTGGCCCGTACTATAGCGACGCCTTCGCAAGTCATTCACGCATCGCAAACAGGCAGCGTTTCTTTTTCTTCTTTGAATAAACGTTATTTGTCTAAATGCGATGCATGGCACTGAAGTTCAATGATATGAACTGTACACTTCAGAACGACAAATGATGAAGACTGTAAGTTAGGAAATGTTCTGTTTTACTCGGCAAACAACTTAATTTTAACCTCATGAATCTGTCAGAGACAGAGAAACACAGCATGTTTTTAATAATCAGGCTGTACCGCAGTGCAGCCCCAGAAAATGGAGCCCACAGGCATGTCTCTTTCAGCTGTGCAAACTGACGCAAAACTCCTTGTAAACAATATTCAAAGCAATCAGAACAAAATCACCAGACTTTCTCTAATCACAAATTATGATGATTTTAACTTGACTTGCCAGATTTATGAACTAGATTCATTACAGAAAATACCCCTTTTTTCTGAAGGCAGTCATCAATACACACTCGGTTGTCGCTAATAACTTAAAAGCACTGAACAAATTACAGAAAGGGCCTCAGTTTTTATTTTTCTGCCGATTTTCTGACCGAGTGTATCCCAACTTTGTTCTGCTAGGAATAAAGCTTCAGGTTAATACCCACAACCCTAACTCTGATAAGCAAGAAGATGCTTTCTGTACCATAATTACTGCATTTTTGCATGATCAGGCACCGATGCGTGAATCTCACTGGGTTGGTAAGTGAAACTGGAGTTTCAGTCCCAGCAAAGTGATTTATACGAAGCACTGTCAGATATCTTTGGGCCCTAGTGCCATCTCTGTGGCACAGATCGATCGATTGTTTCATTTAGTCTCCTTCACATCCTCCCCGTGTCATTAAAGGGTCCAAAAATGCACTTTCGGCGTCTCCAGTTTCTTGGGACAGTCTTTATAGTGTTAAAACCATCCCTCACTGTTTTTCTCTTTTCATATTGTGCAGCAGAGAATCAAACACACGACAGAAATGAACTTCGCCATTACATCCTCTTATACATAAACATACCAGTTTGAGTTTCTCTTTTACTGCAACTGTTACTAATATCGAAAGTCACCAGACAACTATGACCTTGATGTCTGCTTCTACACACACTGGGTCTCATTCGTTTAGCTGCGAACCAGAAAATTAGGACATGCAAGATGCACCGAGAAACTCAGCATACCCTGTAAGCCCCTCCCACCAGCACATTCATATATTTTCTTTCATCTCACATGTATCATAATGCTCTTATGTGAAGAGAAAGCTAGTGTAATATATTATGCAGAAAGCTGGGCCTTCCTCCAGCTAGCCGGCAATCCGAGGCATATGAAATCAGTTAAGATGTTTCTCCAGGAAACCCTTTATTAAGTAGCGAGGTTCTGTTCTCATCACTGCAGTTTATTAACCTTGAGCTACAGCCAGTTCCTCTCCGTCAATGGCCTAAATAAGGATGGTGGTCTACACGCCACTCACCTCCGTACGTCACTCCTCCAGAAGTTCTGGGTTCTTTTTTTTTTGGTCAATGCTATTGGTATGTTTTCAAGAACCGATTTACTTCCTTTTTAGGATTATGGGAACTGCTTGACATTTTCTGTAACAAATATCCTCATTCCACAAACCAAGAAGCTCAATTAACATATTTTATGCGGACCCAAAATGAAATATAAACATATGTAAACTCCACATTTTAACTGTAAAGTCCAAGCACAATACACACGTACGAATCTTTTAACAAACTGGATGAAAATGCTAATTAGCTCGTGTTAGATAAGTGGTATATTAGGCTCACATAATGTCTGTTGGGGTGTCTTCAGTTCCGGGATGCGTTTCATTGCCATCCCTCAGCATAAGGTCTCAGCTTTCGTGAAGCAGGTGCCTTGAAAGTCAGCCCACACACATGTGTGTGCGTCGGAGAATGTGTGTATCATAGCACCCCGGGGAGTCAAAGGTTAACACACCAAGATATCTAGTTACACAATCTGAATTTTCATCTGTCTGATCACACTACTGTAGGCTGCAGCAGTACAAAAACATCTTTTAATCACAAAAACAACTTGAAAAATCAAGGGAAGTTGAGCTTTGCTCAGTGCATTAAGCAAATCCGCAACAAAACTGGCTTATCGTTCTTTAAACGGCCGTCGTATTCATAGTCCACCGACATCTCCACGCGTTGACGTTCGCAGCTGCCGTCGGTGAATGGGAAGATCACGTCAGTCCAAGTAGTCGAACTCCTCTGGTATTCCAAAGGCCTTATCCAAGCGACCGTCTTCAAATCCAAACTTCCTCTTGGCCCAAGACTTGATGGCAAAAACATTATCTACAAACGCAAAGGAACAATCACTGAGACACTGAATTCTGTGCTTGAACAGAAGTTGGTATTACAGACCAGATTAAAGCAGACCTATAAAACGATTTTAAAATTTACAATTTTTTTATTGCTCCAAGTAAAAGACAAGCTAGACAAATTAGGGACTTTACTTTTACTTATTTAACAATATGATGCACAAGGGAAGAAAGTTTGGGGTCAAAGAGCTCGGTTAGGCAGCAATCTCATAGCAATTGGAGTTAAAGGGTCCTTGCTCAAGACTACAACAGTGACACAAATACCCCGAGAGCCACAGGTCTCAAATCCGCGTCTATCTGGACACAGCACTCACAACCCACTAAGCCAGGGCTCTTCAAATCTGGACCTCGATTCCAAATCCAGGCCTTGTTTTCAGTTCTCCCAGGTAGTTGGTGTAATAATTACTGATTCTGATTGGTCAGAGGCTTCACAAGTGGCTCACAGGTAAAGGGAGGCTGGAAAACCAGCAGGGCTCGGACCTCGAGGACCGTGATTTGAGTAATAGGGCACTAAGCAAAACACCGCCTCCGCCCCCCAACGAAGATGAAGGGATCATTTCCTTTTGTCGTTATATACTAATTAAACCGATCAAGTTAAACTAAGTCTCGCTTTTGCTAGTTTGTAAATACAACGCTGCATGTCAAAATCGCGAGACGGCTGAGCGTGAGCGGTTTAGGATCTAAAAAAATGCTAAGGGTGTCCTTAGACACACTTCTGCGCACGATACCAGCAGCACAGAATATCTGTATTCAATTCAGGGTGAGGAACAAATAGACAGCAGTCCCACCGGACTGAAGCGCATGGATAATCCAGAGCCGAATGCTGCAACTCAACAGGTTTGCGGCAACGCAACGGCGCTCCCGTTCCTTACCGTCAGCTATCAGCTAAACCCCCCTCCCCCTACGGTCACGAGAACCGTCATGGGAAGGTGCCCTCGGGCCAACGCATACGTGTCTTATGCAAAGGGGCGCCCGAGACTGCCTAAGGCTTCAGAATCCTCCGATACTCCACCCTTGTCCCTTTTACTCACCCATAATGACATAAATCCTTCAAAAGCGGCACGTTAAACACATATTGGAGGAGACTGCCATTCTGAGCTCTAAAAAGGGACATTTCCCTTCTCCACACTCATAAAGTGACTCGTGGGTTTCCGTCAGCTGGGTGACACGGCGGTACGGGCGGCAAAATGCCTCAGCCGACGTACGAGATCCAATTCAAGCCCCGTGAGAAATTAAGCATCTTTGAAATGGGCTCCTCGCACATTTGGCCTTTCCCTGCCCCCTGGGGCAGGGGCTGGAGGGGGGGGGGGAGGGAGTGAAATTGTTTAATGTCAGTGCAGCGGAGCATTTGGGTGAACTCCAGGGCTGTAATTGCAGTCATAAGCAGGATGTTGACAAGCCGGGTTAACGAGAGCAGGTCTGTAAGACAGCCTCATTATGGTGGCACATGATGACAGCTTCAGATAAGAGAGGCGCTATGCTAATTGAAAGGTCAGCTATAACTGTGGTTAACACAGTGCCATGTGCAACATGCCCCCCCTTCATTTTTATGCTTTTATATATTCTATATATATATATATATAGCACATATAAATAAAAATTTACACTGTAATGTACATCACCCATCAAAAGTTTTTACACACCACAGGTTTTTACCACTTTTCCATCTATTTCATAAACTGCAGATTTTTTTTATTCCGGTTAAGCGTTGGAAAGCTGAGTGAACAACTATAAATGAAAATATAAGTCAAATAAACCAAGTTTCCTTTATAACATGGAAAGAGTATGTAACAGCGCATGTCTGACATCCTATTAACTGGTTGTGTGATGATAGTGTAGTCAAATTCTAGGCTGTCCTGTATCTTTAGATGCACGAGTTAACTGAGAAACAGGGCAGTATTTGATGTCCCCTGTAGAAAGAATGATTTGAATTTTCTCTACTGTTGTAACTGCTACAGGAGTTTACTCTGATGAATCAAAGGTAGAAACTTTTGACAGGTAGCGTATATGCACATATACTGTATGCTGTATGTATTAGATTATGATATGATTATTATTTCGTAGGACCAAATACAGCAGACATGAACACTTTAAAGGGGTGCTGTTTATTCTAAAACCAGCTGAAATCTTTAGAGACTCACCTGTCCATCTGCCAGCTGCCTCCTTGGCGGTAATGTTGTTTCTGCCTGTAATGGAGAATAAAAAAGGGTGAGGAGTCACGGTGTAGAGCAGATCGTGTGTCACACCACGCCGAATAGCGACAGTCTCCAATACTTAAATTTTAGCGAAAGTGAATCGGTTTAATCTGTAACGGCAGCGGGCAACCAGCGAGACCCACCAGCTCCCTATTTCACATCACGACCCGATTGACGGCAAGCCTCCACCACCACAGCTCACTGGGCACGGTGGCCTCGCACTTGTGGTTGTGGGTTCGATTCCCACCTCTGCAGTATCTAGCGAAAACCCACACAAGCACAGTTTCCAGTCCAAAAACATGCGGTTTGATGAAATGGGGTCTCTGAATTCCCCATAGTGACTGAGTGCGCGTGCTCCCCTGCCTAATGACCTGTGCATAATGGGATAGGCTCCAGGCCCAGTGTGACCCTGCAGTGGATAAGCTATCATGGATGGATGGATAGATGAACTTATTGAGTAGCAGCACCCAAGGATGACTGTTAACTAAGACCTTGGCCAACCATCATCCTTAGCCCACTGTTGGCCAACCATCATCCTTAGCCCACTGTTGGCCAACCATCATCCTTAGCCCACTGTTGGCCAAGCATCATCCTTAACCCATTGGTGGCCAACCATCATCCTTAGCCCATTGTTGGCCAACCATCATCCTTAGCCCATTGTTGGCCAACCATCATCCTTAGCCCATTGTTGGCCAACCATCATCCTTAGCCCATTGTTGGCCAACCATCATCCTTAGCCCATTGTTGGCCAACCATCATC